TTTTGTTCGAGGTAGCACCGAAATGTTCGCTCCGGTGTCGACCAGGAAACTTAAATTCGTTTTCTTGTCGGTAACGAATAGGCGGTATGAATGTTCGGGAACGCCGGTTTCCGCCGCTGCCAGCGTTCGTTTTAGTTTTCCGACTTCTTGTAATATGTGCAGGGTGTCGTGCATCGTTTTGCTTGAGATCCGAAGCGCTGGTGGTAAAAGCAAAACGGCGATGGTGATCGGCTGTTTTGTGTCGAACGATGGCGGGAGCGAGATGGGGATCTGTCTCTGAAGCGGTTGCGTGAGTGAGACGGGAATGCAGTGTACCGCGTCCTGTGATCGTTTCTTTGTTGCGTGTAATGGTAATGTGGCGGCCCGCTACAGCTGCTGCGGTAATTGGATGTTTTTTCTTTCAGTTCGGCGATCTCGGTGTGCATTTTACGAAACTCGTCAACTAAAATTTGCATGTTTGTATCATCTTTATTGTTTGATATCGGCGTAGTGATAGATGAAATTGACGAAGTTTCGTATTGTTCTACCATCTTATCAGCGAGTTTGGCGATATCGTCGAGTGCGGTATCTTTGGCCATTGTGTCGCTTACGACGAGTATCGAGCGCACGTGTGGTGGTAGATGATTCATCCACATTAGCTGTAGCGTTTTGTCAGGGATTTTTCCCGTAGCGAGCGTTTTCATACGACGAAGCAACTGGCTCGGCTTCTGGTCTCCGAGTTCCATGTCGGAGAGTAACCTATGTAGCTGCTTGCTGTCGGATTCCTCGTATGCAGATATGAGTTTTTCTTTAACGACTGTGTAATAGCCCTCAGACGGTGGTGCGTAAAGTAGGTCGCAGATTTGCTCGACATCTTCCTTGTTTAGCTGGGCGATGACCATCTGCGCCTTCTGGGCTTCGTTTTTATGAAGCTCATTAACTGCAGCTTCAAAAACGGCGAACCACAATCGTGGTTTATCACGCCAGAAAGGTGGTATGCGGATTGGGAGTGCGACGCTGGACATTTCGTTTGATGTGGATGGCGACGGTGGGTTTGCTTCCGTGTTTGCCATCTTGTGAAAGTTTTTCTTGCAGGAGAAAAATGCGTTTCGAAACAGGATCACGTAGTTCTTCGAGTCTTCGATGTCGTGTCGTTTAAGGATCACGTCAATTGAAGATCACGTCTGTTGAAGATCACGTCGGGTGAAGATCACGTCGGTTGAAGATCACGTCGGGGTCACCACTTTAGGAACCGTAAGATTGAAGGTGTGGTCCCTACTGTGGTGACGGAGACAAGTGGCCAGGGAGACTAAAGGATAATTGTCTCCCTCCGAGCTAGGTGTTGTTAGCCCGGGGACCGCGGTCCAACCGAAGTAGGTTGGACGTTCTATTTATGTTAATTGGTAATGAAACTTATTCTGTGCGATGTAGGTTTCTTTGTTCTAAATGTCTTGTAATTATTAATTTATGTTGCTTGTATTGGTACAGCGCCATCTCGTTACTTGCTGTTGAAACTTATTGCAGTTCGTCTTGCTATCGATGGCTGTGACGATGCTTGTCTTCTCGCTATCGAATGTTGTGGCGATGTTACTGCGATGAATTAGATGTCGCTATGTATCAGTCGCCACAGAACTGTATAAAATCCGACAAATACACATACGACTTTCCATAGAATATATTCTTTTAAAGAAACTCAATAAGGAGTCAATTAGGTCTATTAAATTAAATTGAATCGGTGGCGTAGTGGATAAGCGCCACGGGCCGCGATCGTTGTTGTTAAGTGATTTTCGCAAAGGTCGGTCAAGGGGTGGGTGATCGAAAAGTGTTATCTCGAACTACTCCGTGCTTCAGAAGGCACATTAAGCCGTAAATCCACATTGAGTCAGCGTGGAGGGTCATGGCCCCTACAGTGGGGACGTAAAAGGGCGTATGATGAATTCTTCATCGCCACGCTATAGGCCTAAAGACAATTTACCATCTCAAAAATGGTATTAATGAAGGTTGTTATAGTAGTTGTAGTTTGAGCCTCTCATAAACGTTTAAACGTTACAAATATTAAAATTTTAGCTCTAGGCAATATAATTCTAAAATATTAGACCACGATATTCTCTTCATTACATACCTATTATAAAAGTTTACCTTAAAATTAGATTTTAATTGTAGAAGGAGGTATTTAAGGGCTATGTATAGACGAAATCAAATAAAGGTTATAGATATAGGTATTTTTTAGGCATATTTTATGCGACAAGCAATTTTTTCATCTTTTTCCATTTCAACTGGAGGTTTCCCTGTTGCTGAGAGCTGCCAATATATAAGTAATTGTTATTATTTTAGATTGAAAAACCATTAAGTGATTTAAAAAAAAATTGCTTGTGATACTGCACTATTTTGATATTTGTCCATTAGTAAAACTTCTTGTTAAAATCAATTATTTGTAGTTTCTGTTTACAAATTATAAGGTAATAACCAGTGTAGGTTTTTTACATAAAATATATAGTATGTTTGTGTATTTTTTGATATTTTAAAGTGACATAAAGATTTTTTTAGAAATTTCAACTGGATGTTTCCTTGTTGTCAAAAACATCCGATATAGCCAATCAGAGTTATCAAAAAAAAAAATAGTTTCATTGCTGCGCCATTTTGATGTAGACGTAAAAATATCAATCGATATAAAAAAAAATCAATAGAAAATAAAATAACTCTTTGAAATCAGCGATTTTTTCTTCCTTTAATGTATTTTTAGTATTTAGTCCAGATTTTTTAAAATAAAGTGGTAGTTTAACAATGTTGGATACTTTATTACCACATGTTTGATATACTTTTTTAGGTAAACACTTCAGCAACAGGTGTGATAAAATGATTGATGCATACTTTTGCCTATGAATTTATTTAATATATAATTTTTGAAATGATAGCGCTTCATTTTTCTAATAGAATACATATCCAAAAATACAAATACAATTTATTAAGAAACAAAAAGTTATTGGTTTTTGAGAATGAAGACGGTTGTAGATGCTCGTGACGGGTATGTAGTCGATTTTTTTCTCTCTAACGCCCAATTAAAAAATCAGGTTTATCTCTTTCGCACTGTAAGTTGTGTTTCCCCAATCCAAAAGGTCAAATGTTAACTTCCGACACTACGCTCTAAGAAAATTTTGAGAAGTGTTATTTCAAGATTACAAGAGACATAAAGTCGCCACTAAACATCAGTTGTTTTTTCTCTAAATTTATGTCGACTTAAACTTAACTTTGAAAATAAAAAATAAATAATAATATAATGATTACAGAGCCCGAAAAATTTAGTATATTCTAGAAAAAAAGTGACTTTCGCAAAAATTGGACATCCGACCATTTGGCTCTGATTTACAGAATTTTTTGTTTAAATAAAAAACATAAAAACAAAAAATAGTCCTTAATCTTTATCTAAAGGTTACAAGAATATCCCCCATAACTTGCCTTGAATTTCGCTGGTATTTTATTTTTAGTTCAATGTTTTCAAGTTTCCATATACAGTCAGTAAGTAAGTACGAGTATATTGTAGGCATGTCTAATCTCGAAAGTGTCAGCAAAGGGTTTACCAGTATTAAATTTGGATGTTTCCGAGTTATTCGATCCCATTACCGTGTGAGTAGAGTTATTTGAACATTCTAAGCTTTGGTCAAGGGTACAAACAAATCAGTGTGAGAGCTCGGCGAACTTGGCATTGACGTAGATTAGATGGGAAGTCAATGGTCCACGTAGAGATTGTTCGCTCGCATCTTAATCGTGCACGTGTCAGATGATATCGGGACCTCTGTTTATTTTCTCTTACATTTGTATCGACAATTGTGTCTATTTTCGGGAGCTTGGAATTATCTACGATCTTAACTTTCTGAAAAGATTACTTTGTATACCTATAGCCTTAGGTTTAAGTATATATAAAAATATATTAGACTACAATACATTGTTCAGTTCACTCCTTTCTATTATGGAAGTCTAAAACAACGAAGATACCGCATCACCCAGAACCGAGATAATGTAGAAAAGTTTTTTTATAGTGACCCGGAAATTTGATCCCAGAGATGGCAATACATTGATACTACTGTTATGAGCCACTCGGCTATGGAAAAATAGAAATAATATACATATACTGTTTATTCATAAAAAAAAATAGGGTAATTGTTTGGCATAGTAACATATCACTTTGTTTTGTTCTTTGATTCTTTCGGTTAGCAATTATAAATTAATCGCAGGTAATTTGTAGTCTGATTACCAATCATTATGGCAGTCTTATACATTAGGGACGTTTTGCTTTAATGACTACTTTCATTAATCGCAATTTACTTTACGGGTCTTTTCTGTTCAGGATTATTTGTTTTCTTGTTGCACTCCCTTGGGCCTGCTCTAGTATAATGAATAAAATGTACCTTAAATACTAGGCTAATAGAAAGTCCTCTCCAAATTTGGCAATCTGTAAAAAGCGTCGAATACTGCGCTGTCGCAGCCTTAGAGGTTCAATCAAATTAAACCCTTATTACCTTTTCAAGTGGACTCAGGATGAGTTGAATTTGGATGAGACGTCCATACATACATACGTATATTATATCAGGTTTGATATCCTTTTATCGCTGGGAAGATAGGCATGCGAAAATCAATGCACAAGAAGTTGCGAGTTCGTTCAAAATGACCTACATATTAGGATCTTAATGTTTTAATATTAGCCTATTTGAAAGTCGAGCGCTTATTCTAATGCTTGTAAAAACACTTTTATCAGTTAAATACTTGTCTTATAATAAAAACGATTTAGACATTTTCCGATTTCCCTTGAGGAAGATGCGGATTTCTTTCTCGCAGAGAAAGCAAATCATATATAAGAAAAGGGATTTAGACGAATTGAGAATCTTCTCCATTTTTCAAGTAAGCTGAAAAACTTCTTATTTATGAAGTCATTTATAGCCGGTATTTAAGTATACGACTAGCCAATCGCATGAGTTTACAGTGTACAATCAATCGCACGGTTAAAGTACTCTTTTTTGTTATAGCCCCCATCGGAAGGAGAGTTGGCTGCACCTGCGAGTATGGTTAGCCGTATGCATAGATTGAGAAACTTACGTAAAGGAATTAAGGTAAAGTATTATTTCAAGTTCTGCGGGCCTACCGTTAGCTTCGATTTGGTTGGGAAAATGAATCTGATCCAACAGGATATATTATTGAGCTTACAACAAACCTTGAGTCAGTGCATTTGATTGGATCTATCAATACACTCCGACCGACCGACGATCTGGTGAAGGTCGCGGGAATCCGCTGGATGCGGGAGGCGCAGGACCGATCGCTTTGGAGATCTTTGGGGGAGGAGGGGGGGGGGGGAGGTTAGGCTATGCCCAGCAGTAGGCGTCTCTCGGCTGAAATGATTATGATGATCAATACACTACTGAACAATTCCAACCAAATCGAAACTAATGCAGTTGCGTGGTAGGTCTGCTTTTTGAATTAATCAATTAAAATTCCACGAATATACAGTCAGTACGACAGTATTCTTTTATACCAATACTCTTCCAACATTGTACGGAAGGGTAACTTGGTCCATGTAAAAATATGTAAGCACACATTTGCTAGAGTATTTCAATATTTCAGCACGATTCAATGATTAAATAATGTTAGTGTTATATTACATTACGTGATTGATGAAATTGGATGTTTGTATTCAGACACGTGTGACGTATTTGTCCTAGCCAAAATAAATTGTGGGCAGAAGTTGATATACACTACATATAAAAACCAAAATCTACGTAAACGGAATATCCGATTATAGGAACTGAGATTTAAGAATTTATGGTTGTTCTAGCCAACAACGCTTTTCAACGATAAAGGGAAGTACCCGACGCTGACCAGGATGTCCTACTGCCAGTGTCGGCTGCCTACAGTGTTCACCAGCGTCTTTGAGAGGTTCGGTTGGGCACACGTCGCCTTACTTCTTGACAAGTCGGACCTATTCTCTCTCACCGTAGGTAGGTTGTTGCTTCTATTCTATTACTCTGGTAATTATTGTACTCCTAATATTAAAGTTATTATGGTGTTTTAATAACATAAGTTTTTAACACTGTTCTTGATACTAGATTACAAAATAATGGAGATTATAGAGTGGCTCTTACGCCTGTTTCAAAGTATCGCCATCTCTGAGGTTTCGGGTTCGATGCCTTGTCGGGTAAATGCAGAAAATGAACTATTCTATATTTTCTAAGGTCTGCGTGTTATGGCACCTTTGTAGTTTCAATTTTCCATAATATTCTTATTATAATAGAATTATATGTTGATTGAACCTCTATGACGAGAAAGTGTTACTTTCCTTGAAGAGTTCAAGGCTGTTTTTATAACAGAATAAAATCTGAAAAATGTATTAAGCAATTGAGCACAATCAGAGGCAGATTTGCAGGCTTGGCATATACTAACCACCCGTTTTTAGCTGTCATAATTTTGGCACTGCATATAAATTAACTATTGAATTAGATTAAAAAAAAAATATTTTTGCCATTTTGTTGCAGTAATGAAATGTAATTTCTTATCATCAGTTGCTATATTATTAGCAGGAGAGTCTGCCCATGACTAATAACAATCATTATGTCATTAAAATACTTTAAAATGTAATGTATGCCCTTTATCGATATACGATACATATTGAATGAATGAATGAATGAATAAATTATTTATTGTACACCATAAAATATAGAGGAATTACAATTGATACAGTTTAGTTGTACAATCGGCGGCCTTATCGCTAAAGAGCAATTTCTGCCAGGCAAGGTTAGACTGGACTGTTACTAAATAGACGGGTAGTAGATGGTGTCTAACATTGCGAGAGAAACATATTTGTATTAATTTAAAAGTTTGACTTGGATAAACAAGTGAAAATATAATTACTAGTCTCCAGTACTTCATCATTGAACTTTTACGCACAATATTTTATGTTATTATTTGCCACTCCTAATATCTGACCACCTTAGTCTACTACTACCGTTGCCTTTGGGTAAGTCGCCACTGAACATAATGCTAGCAGTAAGTCCTTAAATTGGAAAAACTGTAGGGGGTAAATAAATGGACACGAACAACAACTGTAGCAACACATAATTTCTGGTTGCTATATTTGGGCCACCTATAAATTCATTCCAACTTCGATTTACGAAGACGCCCAGTCATTAATATTATCTTAGTTTTCTGGTCTGTTTTTTTTCTGTTCGTGAAAATTCTGAAAGTTTTGTCTTTAAATATTGTTATAATAAAGAAAATTCAAGTCGAAGATTTATTCAAAGCAAACTCTGTTACCAAATTAAAGTGGATATGTGCTGAATTAAAATTATTTTACATATAATATGGAATGTTGTTAATATTAAAAATAATATAAAATACAATGTAGAACCTGATGAGTCATTTTCTTTATTTTTTAAATTAACGCCTTTAAATTTTTATATTTGATATTTAGTTTATATAATAAATTATTGTGATCTTATTACACTTATCAAATATTTATGATTAAAATATTTGTTCATATTAATTAAATAATTTGATAAGAAAGAAAATGTTGGATCAGTGGTTAGGTTATATATTAAAATATTCTAATTCTTTTAAAATAATCAATGTGATTCTTATATAATAAACAAATATAATGCTTTATACCTTTTAAAGACATACGTATAACTGGGCTAAGTGAATTAAAATGAAATTGTTCCACAGGAAAGAGTTTGGAGTGGGGTTTACGCAAAAAAGGAATACTGAAAGCGGTTAGAGAACTGGATGGCAACGAAAGGGAGTCCTGTGAAACGTTGCTGCGTGACGTCAGCATGTACGCCAGAGGTAAGTATGCACTTAATGGTGTTATATGTCAGTGGGCAGTTATGCAAAGGGAAGAAAAAGATGCAACATACACTCTTATACCTCTTATTATCTAGATAAATCACTATAACGTAAAGCGATATATCACTCACTTACTCATTTCGAAATCTAAAAAAAACAACAAGTTCCAGTTCTAAATTATGGGCGTTTTACTGTTTTAGGACTAAGACGTTTACTGTCTTCATAAGCCCGCGGGCAACTGTTGTTATATATAGAAAGATAAGAAAAAAAAATAGATACATACGTTGATTAAATTATAAATTTTCGGAAGAAGAAGGTTCTTTATAATGTATACAACATTTTAAGAATTGTTTTTGTGTTATTTGCGATCTTACCCTTAAATAACTTTAAAGACACAGGATTATTTCCGTTTTAACATCAAAGCCGTGCTTGAAATATTTTGGGTTAAGAATGTACTACTTACTGCTACAAATAGCGACATACTAGCATATTGTCTACACGACGCAATAAACCAATTTAAGCAATCTGTTATTTAATGAGGAAACTTATGCTAAGTTTCCTCATTAAATAACAGATTGCTTAAAAAGACAGGCCGAAATATTCTATGTTTTGTTGGAGGTATAATGATGTATATAAGGAAAAGTTATAAGGTGAAAAATAAGGTTTGTGTTTGTACACGAGTCGCAAGAAGGTTATATACTCTGTCGGGATAAAGGATTTTTTTTCTCAGTTTCTTTTCCTAGTTTAGTTTATTAGGTAAGGTCTGAGCCTTTTGTATATAGAATATTAGACTTCGGTCTTGTATTACCCATTTAATTTGGATTTATTGTGCTAGTTTAAGAAATTTACAGTCACGGTCACAGTGCTTAGCAATTTACTCGTAGTTCTAACATTATTCTGTCAGATTTGCACAGAAAAAAGGTAGTACAATTCCTGGGTGTTAAATAAACAAATTAAAATAGTTATATGTTGGGATTTAGGAAGAATTTGAGTAGTATGAAATTTATTTGATCGATAATCATCAATTTTATATGCGAAGCAAAATTTTGGAAAGCCCACTTGTATCTTATATTTTCACGTGCACTACTTATCAAATAAAACTACAATGAAATGGATTTATGACGTGTATTTGTGAATATAAGTTATTTATGAGAATTTAGCGGAAAACTTGGCACATCATTAGTAAGAATACAACTGTGATATGGTCGGTGTCTCGTTATATTTGCTTGTTCATCCAAATTGTGAATCTATCCCGAAAATAACATAATAACATAAATACTAAATTATCTTGTTGGTGAATGTGTGCTTTGGCCAACGAATAATTTGTTGACCAAAAAGACACATTCACCAACAAGAGTTAGTTAGACATCAAAAGGCTGGAAGGTAACAGTTAGTTGCAAATTATTATGGCAACAATATTTTTCCAGTATCAAAGTAAATATTTGTAACATAACTTTTACTTCTCAGAAACAGGCTTATTCCTTAAAAATGTTTTTATTATTACATCAAAAAAAATGTTATGAGTTGCAAAAAGTTTACATGATATAAAATCTCAGAATTCATTTCTTAACATTTTTAAAATATTTTTCAATGTAGTTGCTCATGAAGCGCTATTTTTTTAATCCATTGTAAACACCGAAAGTGTTAAATAAAAATGTACTGAAATCCTTTACTGCACACGTGCTTAAAAGCATTTAGAGGCAAAAGTATTTCAAGGAGCCTAGAACGAATATTTTCAAATAAAAATGTATGACACGAAAACATGTTCAAATATCACGTTTAATTTTAACAAATAATTTTTACCTTTAATACATACTTAGTTTTATTAACCTATATATTTGTTTTATTTCCTCGCAAAAAGCATTGAAAAATGTTGTTATAAACTTGAGCGTAAAAGGTTTTTCCAAAAAAGGAAAACCTTACTTTCCGCACTCGTATCTTAAATAACTATTTTTTTATTATTTTCTGATGTCCTTTCTAAAAGTGATATATCTATCGTTTTGAGTATAATGAAACTGAACTATCAAATAATTTAAATTCAGAATTAACCAACTTTCTTAGATGTTTCGATCTGTTTGATGCTGATTATACAATAATGAGAATACTGTGTTCAAAGGCATAATATAATTTATTGTGAATTGCAACCGAGTTATTAAAGAGATTGTTACTTTGACCAATTTTCAAGAATTAGAGATTTCTATTTGTGTGAGAGAATTTAGATCTGTCGGCTTCTATGAATAGTGTTAGATCAATAATTGTGTCTATGGATCAGAGTCGAGAGATAGAAGCTTTTCACACAGCAGGCCCTTTACAGAGCGTAATAATGGAGATTATATTCGCATAGAAAATAGATTTTAGTATCTTATTCTTATTATACTATTTGTTTTCAACATACATATACTCGTAAAATTTTTTGGAGTGGCAAGTATGGTTAGTAAAATATGAAGCTATGAGCATCGCTGAGATAGGGTCCATGTTGACCACTCTGTCACTCTATCATTGTGTTCATGTAAGGTGTGGTCAATAAACTTTTTATCTTTCTTTATGAAATTTTGAGTGACTATCCGCGGCTCCGCCAACATGGTTAAAGCGAGATAACTAATCTTTTCGTGATAATAATAAAAGATCAGCTTTAGTAGGTAACGTGTAAAAATACAAACGCAGTGTCGAATAGAGAGTGGCGGTCGCAGATACAATACACAAATTGAACTATTCTGATGATAAACAGTTATCTGGTCATTGCAGTCCCACTGTCTTGATAGAGACTCTGATGCACTCGAGCTCCTTCCGTTGTGGAGGCCTTTTGTGTGAATGGGGTTGGATGTAGAGCAGTCCCTGCTAGATATGAGATCCTACCCGTAAAAGTGAGATTGCTTCAGAGGGGCTTTATTGGGTATGCCCACGTTTCAAGCGGTCGCCTGTCAAGCGTCAGGGATAGTGCATAATTCATTGTCCCTACTATACAAAAAAAGAAAGACGATATCCACGATATCATCATTGAGCAATCCTTGAAGTATTGTTAGTAACACCAAAAAATAAATCGAGTTTATATTTGTAGAGTGTATTATTGTAGTGATTAATGTCTAGATTTGTATTTATTAACAGTAGTATTTTATTCAAATGATTAAAAATAAAATGTTTTCACAGTCGTCATACTGAGTGTTCGCGGTCCATTAGTTCGTGAGTTCTTACTCGCGGCTCATTCACTGGGCATGACTCGTGGTGATTGGGCGTTTCTGGACGTTGAGATATTCCAAGTAAGTAATTATGGTATGCAAATTTATCCTTTAGTAACCGTTTTCCTGCGACTTTACCCGCGTAAATTATAACTTTTATCACCCGCCTTTCATATAGTTTCTCATCGATGAAATATTATTTATTAAAACAGTCCAGTAGTTTCGGAGACTATTTTATTCAATCAGGCGAAAAAAACATCAATGAAAGCTTACCTTTTTATAATATTAGCATAGACGTATTTAACTAGTATGCCACATTCAGATGTAAATCTCAGTAGGTATTATTTTTTTGCATCCACGACTATTGATCGTTATACCGTAGCCATTTTAAACCAAACCGTAATAAATTATACATTGTCGAAAGTTCCTCATGAATTACGCGATCTATTGATGGAAACACTATGAAGATCTGTTACATAATTTTTAAGTTGATATTTTTTAATATTTATAAATATAATGGATCAAGTATTTTAAATTCATCTGATCACTGTTCTAAGTATACGGATGTTTTATATTTAACCATTTACTGGGGATCGAGTCCATCAATTTCCCTTCCATTATCAATATGTAGTTCGAAAAGTTCGAAAGCTTGAATGTTGCCAACTCCGATACTCCGTCGTTACTAATGGGCTAAGTTCCTATTCCGTCAAGAAAGTTTTTAAGCCGTTGTTAAACTATTACAGTAAGATTTGAGACATGTGTCAAAATTAACAAAAAAGGACAAATTGGTTCACTAAATAGTATCTATATTTTAATAAATATATTTACATATATGACTAGATGTTTTCTCGCACTGAAAGAAGTTTTACATTCGACCCAGGTTCAGAGTCTATTCGATGCAACTAACAAAAATCAAATCTTTGCCCCTATAACATTATTAGTATGGATAACAATAAACATATATGAGTGTATGAGCTTTAGCAATGGAAAAAGCAGAGCTACAATCAGTTAGACACGAGATAATATAGGAGAGCTTAAATATAGATCCAATGAATCCTGAAACAAGAGCGATCCTAAAATATAACACTAAGTTTAACGGCTTGATTGTTGTGAAAATTTGATTTTGAAAGTGTTTTTACTGTCTTCCTCCAAAGAAGCTGCCAAATATTTGATTTTATTTAAAGTTTCTTCATAAATTAATTTCTGAATTTCACTTGTTCTATGATGAAATATTAAAATTCGCAATTAAAAAGCTGCACGATAATTTTACTTTCCAGAAATTCATGTGGACAATTTTGACTGTGTTTAAATTCAATTTCATTCACTTGAAATTTTAACTCGTTAGAAATTTACGTGAATAATTGTTTTTTTTAGGGTTCCGTATTACAAAAGGAAAAAATGGGTTTTGTTGGGTTATCTGCCGGGACTCTTTACTTTTTATCTAGGGAACGCGTGGAGATATCCAGTTATTTCGATATATCGAGTTAGTTGTAATCGTATGCTTAGTTCTACAGTCATTTTAAGGTGCGAAAAAATCTTCTAAACCAACATTTAAAAATAGACACCCCTAGGAGTTAAATAGAGAGAAATAGAAGATTGAAAGTTAATAAGTCTTATTATAAATATATTAAGGAGACTTGCGTCTTTTTCCTATGTTACTCTCTTATAACGTATTTTTAACAAATTATTTTCCATACGAATATCAACAAAAAGACCACGTCAAATATGTAACAAAACAAATGTGTAACTCATGGCCACGCCAAATAAAAAAAATCTTTGTTTGGAACTTTATCATTCGTAATGTATTCGGTAATGTTTCCCAGATGTGATGTTCCAAGTGCCGCTACTTATCTGCACAGAGGTGTATTTTAAGATTCAGGGCCCCGGACTTATTTACGTTTGCCGCTTCATAAATTAATGAAAAAAGGAAATACTTTGTGTGGACTGATCATGATGAAATACAAATAAAAGTACTCATAACATTAAAATGTGCCAAATGCATGTTGTACTAGTAAGCGCAAAATCTATCGTTGTGTTTTAATTGATTTAAAGTATAAAATTACGTGAAACAAGCGCCAATCTTGTCTCAAAACTAATGGTTCATATTTCCTGTTCTTTCCTCTATTTTCAACAACTCTTCATGCAAATCTATTTTTTCTTCCGCTCGGAAAGCAACTCAAATTATTCCTCTTCCTTAAAAAACGTCAACCTAAATCCTTCTCTGCCTTTAGACCGATCTCTATTCTCCCATGCCCATTCAGAGTCCTTGAGCTTCTTCATCCATAATCTATAGAATTTTTTCCTTTCTCGTTATGAACTCTTAAACCCTTTTCAATCTGAATTTCGTCAAGGCCACAGTACCACAACTACACTGATTAATAAGACGATATTCGATTTGGGATAGTAAATGGTCTTTTAACTGTGCTTACTTTGTTAGACTTCAGTAGTGCGTTTGACATTGTAAATTATGACATCCTACTCTCTTTGCTGCGCTCTATTAACATATCTCCATCGGGAACTGGGTGATTTCACAATTATCTGTACGGACGCCAGCAGCGGTTAAATATTGACCAGAATTTTTCCTCTTGGTGTGGCACAACTGCCGAAGTTCCATATTAACTCTATTTCTAAGAACATTTCTTTTTCCTACCATCTTTATGCAGACGCCCTACAAACTTACTATAAAGCCGCTCCTTCATGGCTAAATAAGGCAGTGCATACCACTTTTGGGTTTAGAACAAGTCTTTTGGTTTTAGAGTAAATCCGACAAAGACTATGGTACGATATACGATCATAGTGGGTAGTTCTAGGCTGATACTTTTTAGCGAGACGGTAAAAAGCATGGATATAATCATAAATATCCATTTGAGCTGGGGACCACAACTGCAAACTGTCAGTCGCAAGCTGTATGCTTGTGGAGGTTACGTAATTTTTTACTGCCTACCTGATAACTGTTATCTTGATCTTGCGGAGGATCAACTTAATAAACTTGAGCGACTTCAAAACTTCTGTATTAGATTTACACGTATATTTGGATTACGTAAATATGATCATATATCACAATTACGCACTCAGTTTAAGTGGCTTCCTGTTCGTCTTCGCCGGAATGCTCACATGTAATCCCTTCTCTATAATAAATGTTATGTATCTTTAATAAATGATTGGTTTATGATTAAATTTTGAATACAAAGTGTAAGAAAAGTTAGAATACTAAAATAATTCACAAATTTCAGGTTGAAAACATGAAAAAATTTATAGCCATTATATTTTTTTTTACTCCTATTAGTATCTAGTTTGCTAAATCTTTATTTTAACTATTTAAAATGCAGTAAAGTGAGCTGTTACTGCATATTCAACAGTTTTGGTACTATATTAACTAACTAAAATGCAGTAAGTAATTTAAAATTCCTATTGCATAGTAGGTAGTAATCTTAGCGAATTTTCAGATAAATTTACAAATTTGAGACCTTGATTTTAAAATAAATAAAAAATAAAATATTATAATTGGTAACAGAGTTTGAAATTGGGCTTTTAGACGATATGGAAAACTAAAAAACGCAAATTTTGCTGTTATTGCGGTTTAACCTAGGGGGAGCAGTATACTCGTATATGTATGTACGAGTATTTATATATGTATACTCGTACATACCTATACGTGTCTTCTGCGTATAAAACTAGTTGCGAAATTGCTTTAGTTACCACTAATCCATTAACTGACTATTTCTGATTTTTCATTTCTGGGCTTAATGTTCTGCCCGGATATGATATTAGCTGAATATTAGTAATTAGGCTCCGAAATTACTGGACTTATTTTAAAAATTCTTTCACCTACGTGAAGCTACACCATACGCGGGTGATATAACCTATAATTAACGCGAGCAAAGTCGCGGGAAAACAGCTAGTGTTAATTAAAATAATACACATTTCATGAATCATTATTCTCTTCTTTATTCCAGTCTTTTGATTTAATAAAAAAGCCAAGCTTTGTCAATTATGGTAGTTAGTTATAAGGAAGTCTTTGGCTTCAAGCGATCTTTAAATTTTTTGTTAGTTAAAAGTATGGGGTACGCATACGACGATATGATCCCTTTTCTACGTCCATGTTCATGAACCGAGTTATCATATGTCATTTGAACGCACTCAGGGTGGGTACTGGGGTGAGACGGGTTGGGCAGCTGGTGACGAGCGCGACGCAGCCGCCCGTGCAGCGTACGAGGCGTTACTGCGGGTCTCTCTTAAGCTGCCTACCGGTGACCGTTTCGATGATTTCGCTGACACTGTGAAGGCGAGAGCAAAACAACACTATAATTACACTTTCTCAGATGGCGAAGAGGTCAGTTAATAAAAAATTTTGGAGTTTCTTTCTTAAAATTTACTTATTTTAATTACATACTCCTCTTATACCTTGCTCGTAAGCAAGTTCTATACACAATGAACTTACTTACTCCCTTTTTCCTGGCGCGTACGTAACCGGGCACTGAGGAAATACCGAAAATTTCTAACAAAACGTCAATCACTCAGGTTAGGTTAGAACTGTGATCAAAATGTCATTTTTTAAAAGCCCCGTTACACACACCCCGTACGTTGAGATTTATTCTAGTTTGCTAAAACAGCATTGAATTATTTCCCTTAAATTTTTTTCCGTCTTAATATTAAAATATTTTTATAGTTTGTAAAATGTATGTATGTAATAGGACTCTTGGAAGACTGACATTTTGATCACAGTTCTAACCTAAATCTCCGCTCAACCTTCTAGTTCTTTGCTATGTATAGATCAACATCATCATCGCCAGCCTGTTAATGTCTAACTGAATCACAAAGGGGAGGGGGTTGGGTCATGGGCGGGTGGTGTAGTCGATAAGCCTATAGATTCAGTCAACGGCTTAAAGACCGTTCCGAATCACGCAGAAGTTCAAGATAATTTTTTTTTTCACTCATCATATGACCGGCTCTCGGGGAATTTGCTTAGTTGCTGCATAGAAGATCGAACGCGCTAACCACTGCGCCATCGATATCTTAATATAGATACTATTTGATATTGTTGATGCTGTTTCATATATAAATAAACAAACCCAACCCACACTGCTCTTTATCAGTAAAGGTTTATTTTAACAATTTAATATTAATAAAACTAATATGTACATACACGTAATTGGTATACTATTACACGGTATTCTTTGTTATGAAAGAAGACACAGTAAAACTAAAACGTTCTTGTTAAGGCAATTATGTTCAGGTAATGAAATTGTTACAAGTAATAAAATAGACGTTATCTACGTGATATGTCCTCGTTTCCAACCTTACCAGCTAGAATTTCATAACCCCCTCGTTGCGATCTCAACACCCGATGCAGTTGCATAACTCTGCCTAGGTGTTCCGAGATACTTGAAACTTTATAGATAAAAACTTTGAACAAAGCTTGCTTATTAGTTGAACAATCGAATGGTTATTTGTCGTGTTCTTTGAGACAGAAACAGTGTTTTTATTCTCATTTTTTGTCTCATAAATGGAACTGCTAATTTTATTATTTGATAAAAAGTTCCACTGCATTCAAGTTAACAAATTTTGAATAGTTTTTAAATATTTGTGTATTACTATGTTGTATAATAATGTTTATTTGTTATTTATTAATGCAGTTGTAGAATGAACAGGCATTAAATGCAGTACCTAGTATTAATGCCGTGATTTGATTCTGTAAAAGTAGATTACGTTATTTATTTCATCTAATTGACAAATGTTTTTATTTGCGAAGGTGAATTTCTTCATAGGCGCATTTTACGATGGAGTGTACCTACTAGGCATGGCTCTAAATGAAACTCTAACAGAGGGTGGTGATATTAGAGATGGCAGAAACATAACAAGACGCATGTGGGGTCGGGATTTTCACGGTAATTAAGACTTTAACATTAAATGTGAAAGGGCCCCATGTTGGGCGCCAGATGAGACGGTGGCGCCCAACGTGGGGCATAAATGTCTCAAGTTCAGAATAATAGAAATACAGGAATTGGCTGAATTATTCAACTGTAAATAGTAATGATAAAAGAACTAACAAACACAGATTGATTACATATTAAACTTATGTACATGTCGAGTTCTTACTAGTTTTTTTGATATTTAGGAATAACAGGACACGTACGAATTGACTCACTCGGAGACCGCGATGCCGACTACGCTATATTAGATTTGGATCCCGTCACTGGAAAATTTGAGGTAAGTGTCTACATATTGTTGAGAATTTCTCAATACTGCAGTAGCAAAATGAAAACGCGATTTGAAATTTTATTACATATTCACTTACCTACGTATTTTGTACCTGTATTGCTCAGGAAGACCCCCTTTCACCCTACCTTTTCATAGCAGTTTTAGTAGCGGTCATAAGCAACCTGAACTGGAAAAGATTGGGAATCAATATCAATTGAAAGTATAAGTTCAAAAGACTTAAGGAAATCGGAAATAATGAAAATACGTAGTATTTCAGATCCAATGTAACTGAGAAATGTTCATTGTCTTAGACAGCACCGAGAAAATATCGGTATTTCAGTAGTACAAGTACAGTGCCAATTATGTAGTACCACTATTTAAATAGACTAAAAATTCTAACTATGACTTGGGTTTATTTCAAAGTTATTCCATAGTCATATCATATGACTCGTATGTAATTATAGAAACATAATTATACGCCTGTATACTACAAGCTTACTTCAGTTCTTTATTTTTAAAACGTAAACGTAGTTTGAGAGCAGTGCTATATTGTTATAAAAGGCCTCGAATTCGACGACGAAAGCGAACAGGTTCGATCAAATAAAAAAAACGGCGTTTGTCGTTGAGTTCGAGGCGGTGTCTTAACAGAATAGAAATATCTTTTCTATTCTGTTAAAACACATTAAGTAGCACTCGTATCTAATAATCGAGTTGAAATAAATACTTGAGTAACTGTAATAATTTATGCAATTAATCAAGAATTTGTACGAAGAATAGTAATAGTATTCCAACTCTCGAAAGTTGGAATACTATTACTATACTTCATTCAAATTGTCGTCTATTGGTTGAAAATATTTTACTTCTACTCGACTATATGTGAAAAAATCTACTTTGTTTGAGTGTCTTTATTCTAATTTAGCCTCTGTTTCCGTAAATAAAATGAGTAATAAATATTTGTAGCGTTTAAAATACCGCGTGTCAAAATAGGTGGTAGCGTTCTATCACGGCCTGAACGGCAGCTATAAGCCAGTAGCGGGCAAGGCTATCCACTGGCCCGGGGGCCGCAGAGGACCTCCACCAGATACGCCTCGGTGTGGCTTCTTAGGGAACGACCCTATGTGCCAAGGAGGTAAGGCTGTTTCATGATATGTTATATGTGATGATTGGTATTTTGTAATACTTGTTAGAAGATAACATTTAGTGATTGAAAAAGCCGAAAACGATATCTAATGTTGTGGAGGTAAAAGTAATCTTTGTTAAAAGGTGGTGTGCGATGGTTTTTATGACATTTTACTGGTGTACGATGGTCTTTATTCTGAATGATAAATACTTAAAAAATCTACCAGCCTGAGATGGGACTCGAACCCACGACTTTTCGCAATCCGGGCGACTGTTCTAATCACTGAGCTATCCAGGACCTAACAGGACTGACAAATTTTTCAAGCACTTGTAACTTAGGTACTTGGTAGATTTGTTCCAAGTACTTTTGTTCTCTCAATGATTTCATATGCACCTGCTTTTATCCTTTATTTTAATCTCCACATCACCTAAAGGTTTACTGGCAGAGAATGCCTAAGGCATTAAGTCCGCCTTTGTACGATTGTGCATAAAGAAGTAAATAAATATATAAGTAACAATTTTTGTTGTATAATGAATTTACGTCGAAGCTTAGTATACTTGAGCTTATTTAAATGATTTGAATCAAAAAGGTGACCATTGTAATAAATTTCCATAGAATTTCAAATTGTCAAAGACGACGTTTAAACGTTTTGATAAAATTCAAAGCCTAAACGTTTCAAAGTTTGTAAATTAAGTGCTTTATGACAAACAAATAAAAATAATAATAACACACAGTATTTGGCTACAAAAGCTTTTGTATATTTTTTTCTTTGTACCCAATTGACTTTGAAAAAGTTTGATAATCGGCAAAAAATACGAGAACGTTACATCGAAACCCAGATATTTTTATTTAGTCTGACGACGTTCATTATCCTGACAAAGCTTGTGTTGACAAAGCAAAGTTGATGTAAATATGATGAAATATTTAGAAATAATACAAAACGTATGAATATTCGTAGCACGTTAGTTTATACTTTCTATAATAAAAACTTATTGCGTTAAATGAAAAGCTCAACATATTGTTCGCAGAAATTTGACTTTAATCATGTATAATAAATAAGTAAAAAAGGTTCTTCGCACAAGAATCTCCCAGTATTTTTATTTTTTGTGTGTATTTTAATAGGCGTCGTGTAGGAATGGTGTCTGGGGACACGAAACGTCTTAAACCAGCTGTTTTCCCGCGACTCCGCCCCTGTAAATTATAGTCTATGTCACCAGCGTATAATATAGCTAATAAAGTATACGTATAAAACCCTTGTAGCTACCCGTAGGTGAAAGCATATTTAAAATAGGCTCCGTAGTTTCAGAGAATATTCAAAACAAATAAACAATAAAGTCCTTTCCTCTTCATGATTTTCGTATAGATTGAGATATCACTGAGCTTTGTGTATAAGGCTTATTTATTTAGTCTGATTTTTAATTTAACATAGTACTTATTTATTCTTCATATACTTGCAACCACAGAACATAGCTTGCAACTCTAAAAGTGCAGAACAGCGCCTTTCGTGTCATTCTGCTCATTCATGAATAATATAGGAGCCTTTGCTGGTGAATAATGGCTTAGTTGTTTTCTTTTTTTTAATTTACTAATGATTTTGATAATATCAACAATGATATTATCAAAATCATTGTTGATATTACAACTACTGACCGTGTGATTAATAATGTCCTTCTTTATTGAAAGAAAATTAAAGTTGTTCACTTGATTATACAATTTGATGTGCTCTTTATTAGAAAAATTTGTAGCTATTTGCAGGGCTTTGAGTGGTTAAAGTACTGTAATGGATTCTCTATTGTTTGTTACATTTTTAGAACAAAACAAAGACAGCTTTGGCTCCATCAGATTATAAAGTGAACGCTTGGATACAATGTCGATGAAGCGAAGGAGAGAGAGCAGAGTTTTAACACTTTACCGTCCTGCAATTTTGAAGGAAAAGCTTTTAAAGCGAACAGTTTTTTTAATTAATAATGTTAAAATAAAAAAAAACACAATTACTGTTATTTTCGTAGTTTTCTAGTGAATAAACCACCTACCACTATATAAAAGAAACTTCTATGAAACCTGATTTATTCTTTGCAACGATCCTTTATAATATAATTTACAAACCATTCAGAATTATCTTGGGTAAAAATTTGGAAAATAGCGGATAATGAATTTTCATACAGTGTTATTGTTTTTATATGTAGGAATAATGAGAAATTTTTGCCTCTGTTTTGAGGTTAATAATAACGTACTTTCAGGGTGAGTGTAGTATAAAAGCTTTTGTATACCTACTGAATTTATTATTATAACTCCTTAAAGAAAACGTAGAAAGTTTTTATTCTGTATATTGCCCCGTGCAAATCCGATCAAAGAAATGGGTATTGCTATTCAAGTATTACTCGTACGAATGAACATTACACCTGAAGGCATAATCTATTTCTCCGAAAACGAAATTTCTTAAATCCTAATACCTATAACGCCAAAGAAACGCACTTTTGATAATTCATAATACAAGGGAGGTAGGTCATGATGCTTCTGATGCACAGACAAGCTTTGCAGATATGATTTTAACAAAATTTTAGGAATGATTCGAAATTTCCCAATTTTCGTTCGAGTACAAATAGAATAGGCCCTCAAATAACTATAACTAATGACAAATAGGTGTCAAACTAATTCGTACGAGTTATAGGTAACGGCAAGTCGTAACCTGTCACTTTTTGGTTCAAATTAGTGACCCAAAAATCAGTATCCCATTTGATTGTCGGTGTGTATTGTAACATTTAATTTGTCAAACACGAAGTTTCGATCTATCACCTTCTGATTACTTCAATCTTTGTTCAGCCCCTATGAAGTGCTTCTGTTACATATACAAAAAATGTTGGTAATGTACAATATTTTACGGAGCCCGTATTTGAATCTGTTAATTACTGTATGTTTACTTTGGACGCTGCTAAGAGGCTCAAACAGTAATAATATACTGTTTCATCGGCCTCGCGATATTTCTAAGTTTTGCTGTGACAGCTGCATGTGTCGCTTACAAGTAAGTAAGTTTTTTCATTTGTTTGGTTAACAAACGATAAATAAAACAAAGGATAAACAAAGGTCTAATATAACGTCTAATATATTAACGTCCGATATCATAAAAATAAGCTGTGAATATAATTTCAAAAATGTTAATAATGTTATTAGGTGTTTGAAAATATTTAAAGATGTTTTGTAATTACGTATATTAATACCTGTAAGTATTTTTATTGAAAATAGTGTTATGGAGCGCAGTGGTGCAATATTTCGTCTACCCGTTAGTAGGTGGCATTATGTGGCGTTAGGTATCATTTGAATCGCGCTAACACCGTTGAACTGACGTGTGTCATATAGATATACGGCGTGCGAGAGAGGGATGGTCTAACACAAGAGTCTTGTCTGCTTGAGGAACAGTTGCGACGTGATAAGGACGATCACAATAATCGTATGCGGGAGATGGATAAAACGGCTAAGAAGGAGAAAACGGAAAGAGACTGTGGAAATTTAAAGTAATGCCGTTTGGTTTATGAAATGCATCTGCAACTTTTGAGAGATTGATGAAACTTGTGCTCTCTAGATTGATTGGGGACGACTGCCTTGTATACTAAGATGACACTATCACCATAGGGTGCACGTTCCAGGACAAACTGGAGAAAGTACGAGCTAAGATCCGTAGGGCAAAACTCAAGCTAAGTCCTAAGAAGTGTGCCTTATTTAAGCGGCAGGTTAACTTCATAGACCACGTGGTATCTGAAGCCGATGTTTAGACCGACCCGACTAAGATAATCGCCGACAAAAACTAGACATCCCCTAAGGACAAGATGCAGGTTTGCAAGAGCATTTCTCGGATTGTCCTCATACTACCGACGGTTCAGGAGAAATTTTGCAGATGTTGCCAAAACTACATAACCTAAGTAAGCTGACATAAGAAGCGAACCTTCCGTTGGGACGAGAGCTGTGACGTAACATTCTAAGAGTGGAAGCAGTGATTGTGTAATGCTCCTATTTAGGGATATCCAGAATCACTGGTGTTTTATCACAGGACAAACAAGACCACGAGGTTGTGATAGCTTACATCAGTAAAGCATTATCCAAGCCAGAAAAGAACTTCTGCGTTACAAGATAATAATTTCTAGCTGTAGTAAAAACATTAGCATTAACAATACTCGTCGCCTACCCGTTATTTGTTTCGTCTATCCGTTACTAGATGGCATTAGGTGTCATTTGAATCGGGCTAACACAGTCGAAACTACGTATGTCATATAGATATACGGCGTGCAAGAGAGGAACGATCATTGGGGAAGAAAACGACGGGTAGCTGTTCTAGAACTTTTTGCTAATTCCTCGAATACACCGATAGGGTCAATCGAGGCCCCTATAAATACGCGATGGGCTATCCGTCCCGGCATTAATCAGTGATCAAACGATCTGGAAGCAAGAGCGAATACAAGTACTCGAAGCGAAAACTAGTGCGCTGAACGATCTAGTGTTGTGAAGTGATCATTGTGAAGTGAAATAGTGAAATTAAAGTGTGTATTTTGTTATTAGTTTATTTTTGTAATTTTGTTGATTAAATAAAGTCGGATAGTGAATTTAATTGGCGTTGATTTTGTACAATACGTAAAAGTCAAAACGTCAAATTTCAGGTAAATTACTTTAGATTACAGACAAGAAAAATGAGGTAACAAAGTCACTGTTCTTTATTTTCCCCAACTAATGGAGGATGCATTAGCGTTCTTTGTTCTCAACATTCCCAAAACTTTGAAGTATATGTATCGCGTAAACACTCCCAAGTTTTCTTTATCTTATTTTGGACTTGTTCTATATATTCAAAGTTTCGAAGATCTCCTATTTCTTTAGGAACTCCTGTAGATTGACGAACTTAAATTCGTTATACAAAATTGATTAAAAATAAAGTATTTAATTATCGTTGGCATAGGTATGATAAGAAAGGTATCTTAAATATTAATGATAAAGTTTAAAACATATCTCTAGTAGGTATCTTTTATATCCGTAAGGTTATTTAAAAAGAAAAAAATACTTAAATAACTGTCCAAATGCGAGTACGGCTCGTGCGAGAAGGGTTCCTAAAAGGAAACGAGCAAAAAAAACACGTTTGTTGTATGAGAGCCCCCCTTTAATAGTTATTTTACTCTGCCTTTTAGTGTTTGTTGTTCAGCAACAGGAATATATCGTCTGTGATAGTTTCATCATGTTTCGCGAGATATATTCGCTGAGGTGTATTTTGTTTAATATTGTTCTATGAATATTAACTTTTTGAGTGAATTTGTGCAAGCAGACAAGCGCGCATAGACGCGGAGCTTAACAACACAGCGTGGAGGGTGAGGCCTGAAGAAGTGCTCGTGGAAGTCGGCACAGGACTCGGTGCTAGTCCAGCTCTGCACAGCATCAACGAGGTCCTGAAGGTATTCCGAGACTTCTTGTAAGGATTTGTAGCAAATTTACTATTCTATTTCTAATACCACTCACAGTTTTGTTGCGGTGTTATGACCTTAATATCAGACGTAATGTTTCTACCACTTTAATTGCCATGCGTTAAGAATGCGTAAAAAGCTGAAGAGAAAAGGATTTTATTAAAGATACAAATTCGGCTATATTTGGTTGCAGACAGATGAATTTTAATTATAAATATTATACAATACATAATTATATTAGACAAAAGCAAATATGAGACCGTCTTCCAATTTTGTTGTTCTTTAAAGACACAGCATAGAACTTAGCATCGAACACAGCGCTGCTATAACATAAGAAGTTCAATGACATAAAATATTTATTACCTTCTGATGTTGTTTTTTAACATTGCCGATTGTAAAAGCATCTAGGTTATGGAAATTTACCATGCAGCTCATTATGCTCATGCAGCTCATTTGTGCGAAATTATGATAAAAAACATCTTTTTTAAAACAACCTTTTGTTGGACTAGAGATTTATTATAAGCGAATAAAACAAGCATAAGCTCAACAGTTCCTATGATCACCTTCCAGCTCCAACATCAGATAAGCTCCATTACATATTAATATCGCATTGTCATGCAATTTATATGTGTATGCAAAATAAACGCTTGAACTTTAAAGTAACTTACATATTTATTAATTTTCACTTAAAATGCGAAAAAACAGATTTTAGAGGTCATTTCATATTTTACTCTATAAAATTTTGGAAGCTGTTAAGTACACCAGTCTTATAAACAGTCACCTAGGTAGTATAATAGTTTTCATTGTGCATTTGTTACCCAGTGTTGGAATACGTTTTTGATACGAAAACGCAAATTTCCATTTTACTATAAGTATAATGTAAAAGACTTAAAAGTGGCATGATATAATCAGTGTACCTAAAATCAAAAATTAAAATGAAACACAATAGATATATCTTCTCCATTCATAATGAAAAATTCAGGTTGTTCTTCGTCGAACTTTACGTGTAAGTCCGATCCTTTATCCTGAGTAAATAGGGTCTATTAATAAATAGCCGTCAGGTGACAAGGTTAATTTATGAATTGGTCGTTTTCAAAGAAAAAGAAAGTTTGTTTAGAAGTAAGTCCGTCTTAGTTAGAAAGGTGTTGCTTCTAAGACGACTTTCTGATATATTTTGCTTTTGTTCAGTCTAACAGTTTCCATAATTTTGATAAAATGAAGTAAAACGAATTGAAACAATTTAGAGTTTCATCAAAATGTAAAAAAGACATTTTGGTTAAACCTTTAGAATGTTCAAAAGATGTTTGATCAAACGAGAAGGAAGTAATAAGATAAAATTTAAATATTTTGTTGAAATGCCATTTCGGAACAAAGAAAAGTCAATTTAATCACTTTATTTAATAGCTAAAGTGAGACATAATGGTATGCTTTCATGTAACTTAATTAAAAATCTTGATAAAAATACGTATTAGTTTATTTCCCCAGATATAAAATTATGTTACTGTATATCAACACTTTAATATTACCTGAACTAGTTCTAATTTCCTATAGTGGATACCTTTAGTCCCAACAGACATTACATAATTAATTACAAGTGTTTATAGTTATCTATCACATAATTGGACCTCCCGATGGACACTCCCAGTGTTTATTCCTGTTCGTCAATTAAGTTCTATTGCTTCGGAAATTACGATCGAACTCAATAGCGTCTGTAAATCGTAAACGAGAAAACGACGTCTGTATTTCGATTTTTGAAGTTGATAATCGTTTAATACCGTTTCTTTTTTATAAAACTTAAGAGTGCACGTGAATCAAAATAATTAATTCAACATTATAGTCAAGGACCAAATAAATTGCCAAAACTTTAATGACTTAAGCCTCGATATAAAATAAATTACAGACTTATCCCTAAAATTCAATTAGGTTATATTCCGTTTGTTTCATTAAAGAGAAGATTGGTTTTGCTAGGAATAGAGTAGAGAATCGCTGTGTAGCCGAGGTGGTATTGTATAAATTGAATATTATATAAATAATTTTAGACTTTATTACGTTTCAATAAAAAATCTAGTACTTTAAAAGGCGGGTCATAAAAGTTTTATTTGAAATTGACAAAATTTCTAAAATTCAACTTGAAATATGTGCCCGTTATTGATAAATTAGCTGTCCTGTCGTGCTATTCTGTTATAACATTAGCCTCGAACTCAACGTCTAGCCCAGCGCTGTCATAGTATAGAGGCTTAATCAAATAATAATTATATACTTCAAAAGGTAATAACGATTCAATTTCATTACATTTCTGTGCTGTGACAATGTTATACTTGGCATCAAGTTCGAAGCTGATTTAATTACAAAATAGCATACCTGTGGCCACCCAATCAGGCGAACTCAAACTCTTTAAAGTATTTTAAACATCCCACAACAATATAAAAACAATATTAAACTTTCTTAAAAATCGTTCAATACTTCTTTCATAAAGAAGATAAATTGAAATATTAGAATCTTCTAAGAAAGTTGTTTTTATATCTCATTAGCTGTCTTTGGGTTGGAGCGCTCGCGGCAGTAATGGCGCCACTTCCGGTGTGAACACCCCGTCTTTGAACCTCGCGACCTTCACCGTCGGCCTTTACAAGGGAAACAGGGTCGCCGTCAAGAAGATTCACAGGAAGAAGCTGGACTTGAACAAAAAGTTGTTATGGGAAATCAAACAGGTATCCGGGAAGCATTACTTTGTTTTGATTAATTATCATAAGTAGCTGCGACCAATTCATCTTTAGCACTACCAAGAAATCTATAAGCAAATTAAATTTACACAAAAGAAACAGCATGAATTGGCGGGTTGAAAGATTGGGTTATTCAGGACTTTGCGACATACGAGTTTCTTTGACATTTGAGATGCATACCTATATGTATGTAATAAGGAATAAAGGGTTTAACAAAATCTTTACTATCAATAATTCGTCTGGGAAGTTCTTTATTTCTTCCATTCTTTAATTTTTAGGGTTTCTTGTTCTAATTTATACAAACATATCGACGCTGGAAAGCAAACACGTAGTAACCCGCAAAACCAAAATTGTTCTTTAGAGCAGAAAAACTTAAATTTTTTTCCATAAATAATTCCTATAAAAGTCCATGGTAACAAATTAGGTGTTCCTTAGTCAATTTATACGGAAAGAAGATATTTTTTCTTGGAAAAATATAAAGATTTTCCATTCTAAATATCCAATTTCGTTTTGCAGGTTACTACGTGTTTGCTTTCCAGCGTCGATATATAGGTTCACTATATAGGACACACTTCGGTATGTCCGTGTCACAGCTAATTTACTTTGAACTAAAGGGTTGATTAATTTGAAATTTGGATCACTTCTATAGGTCGGTGACCCAAAGACGAATGTGTAACGTAAATAAATAAATTTCTTCGGGGGGTAAATAAAAACCATTTTATTTATTTATATTGTGCCATTATTTCAAATGAATATACTTGGTGTCATGTACATTTTTAACTAATTTTGAAATTAAATAGTTTTTATGTTATTTATTACAGTAGGTTAAAATTTACCTTAGTATTACCAATGATATCAGAAACAACTGAGCTTAATATTTTGATAATTTTAAACACGATAACCTACATTGGTATAAGAATAATAAGTATTTCTTACATAAAAAGCTCTGTCTACGAGTTCCCTTTTTAAGGATATATATATAATAGAGATAATAATAGCGGAACTCCCCATGTACTCATAAGCGTGCGGTTCTGTGTGAGGTCGTTGATTAAAACTTCTCAAGCAACTTGTTTCAAACTATTCTTCGTAGACTCATTAATTATTATTTATGATTAAATTAGCAATTTAGAACCTCGTATGGCTAGGCACACAGTGGTAGGGATGTTTATTTAAAAAATACATCGATATTTTTTATGATGCATAAAAAAACATGTTTGGATGAGTATAAATCTATACTGTATGCTTAGTTAATACTTACAACTATGGTTAGTCTATGAAATGAATTTTAACGGAAACTTAAAAGCGTCGTGTTGTGTTGTTAGTAGAGATTTTAGTTACGACATTTTCTTGGATATAAGGGAATTAGTAATGTCAAATACGATAACAATGCGAAAACACGGCATTTCCCCGAGTACTCCCTAGAGATTTTATGAAACTATGTGCTATTTCTTCGTATATTGAATGAAATACATCAACATATAGTAAAAGATCAAGTGGTAAAAACGACCTAAAAACGTTTGAATCATTCAGTTGTATGTTTCTATTTGTCAATCGACTCCAGTACTACATTTGAAACGTTTTCAGTTCAAATTAAGTTTTAAGAAATATCTCACAAATTGCCAGATCTATACTAATATTATAAAGAGGTAAATTGTCAAACTTTTTTTGTTTGTTTGTAGGCTGAAATCTTCGGAAATCTTGATCATATTATAAAAACTCTTTCACCTACGGGAAGCTTTATCATACGTAGGTGATATAGCTTATAATTTACGCGGGCGAAAGAGCTACTTGTAGATCGATTTCATTTAGAAGAAACATCTAATCCAACCTTTTTGATTCCACTAACGGGCTTTCATTTAATTTTTCATTTAAAAGGAATAACTATCCGTCTTAAATAGGATACCCAAATTACCCATGATTTTCTTCATCTGAGCTCTCTGATTGAAGGCACGCAACGTCTCTCACGAGAACACGGCGCGCTTCATCGGTGCTTGTGTCGATTGTCCTCTTGTGTTCGTGCTCACTGAATACTGTCCAAAGGGCTCGCTCAAGGACGTCCTAGCTAACGAAGAGCTCCAGCTAGACTGGAACTTTAGAACATCACTGGTACACGACATCGTGCAGGTGAGGGTAGATCTTTTTGTTATCGAATCTGGAAAGGATTTTTTATATCATACTTAAATTTTTAATGATAAAAGGATGTACTGACATTTTATATTACTATACAATCTTGCATTCACTGATTACAATAGTAGTTGATTTTTGCAAATGGGGACCTGGTGATTTGCAATACAGGCTAATCCCATTTCAAACACCAGCTCGTCACAGTATCAACATTAAGAATATTTACTTATGAACAAAATGCAATGTAAGTTTTTGTGAGGACAATAAATAAATAAATAATAATTTTTTTATATTAACAAAACATGAAAATCGTATTTTTCACTAAAATACTCCCCTGAACACTAATAATGAAGTAACAAGTGAATATACTTGAAAATTCGCACGTGTCGTTTGATCTCCAGTAGCTTAGATGGAAAAGCACTTCCGTCATTAGTGACTAGGTTGATATTTGGAACAACTTTTTCCAAGTATTTTTCTAAAATAATAGGGGTTTTTATTGATATATTATATGCTGAATATACTAAAAATCGGAAAGGTGCCCGTATTGGTGTTATTTATCGCATATTTTTTAAAATGTGTATTTTTAAAAATAAATAGCTAGGGTAACTCATACGTAAACAATTAACCTAATACAAAGCTCAATGACAATATTTTCCATTTAAAGTAGTAAAAACATTTAACACGCCTATATAAGGAAAATGTAATATCATTTATTACTGTATTTGCTTAATGAATTAGTTAGGATCATTGAAGGGAATTTACATAACAGCATGTCACACGTTGATTAGGGTATGTGTTACCTTCATGCCGGGCTTGGTGCGCACGGCAAACTCCGCTCTTCGAACTGCCTCATCGATGGACGCTTCGTTCTCAAGATATCCGACTACGGCCTCAACACCCTCTGCACACCCACCGATTTGATTAAGGACGACACATACTATTACAGTAAATATCCTGAAAATTAATTCGTTTTGTGATACAGATATAGCTACTGTGGCAAAATTACACGTGAATCATGTTACAGTGGGAAGGGAACAAGGATGGTGTGTAATTAAACTAATTACTGTGTACAGCCAATAGCACATCTAATTATACAAACCTGTGAAATTTTACGAGTCATTTTTAAATCTAATACTGTTAAGAATACAATTCAGATTTTTTTTTTTACATTAGTAGTAATTTGTTGATGTGCAGTGCTCCTCTGTCAAAGAAATGTTGCAGTGAACTGGGATAGGAAAGTTGGCTTGTCGGAATAGAAAAAATACAATCTAATACAATATAATTTATACAATCTCTTTAATAAAATTTGGCAATACTGTTTGGAAGTACATAATTATAGTTTGATGTTTACACATCACTTTTTCTTCTTGATTTTAATACAACACTTTGGCTAACGGTTTAAATTTTGCTATTTTTGTATGTCTTAGTATATTTATTACAAGATAATCCTTACGGTTTAGACTACATCATTCATTTGCTTACTCTTGTTCCGATTATTTTGAGTGCATGCATTTTTATTCCATGCTTTATAATTAGCTATCATCTCAAAATTCATAATTCTTTTTGCTCATCGTCTTTCTCACAGTCTATCTTTCCTCTTTTTTGATCTTCTATTACTAAATACTACATAAAAAGGTATTAAAGAATTGATTATTTTTGGGCAACTTCTCTATATAATTTAAAGCTTATAGAATGCTAATACAGTTTAAAATCCCTCGTGTAGAACTATTGTGGACGGCCCCAGAACTGGTGACGGGCAGCGTGTATCCTGGCGCGATAGCGTCGCTAAAAGGCGACGTTTATAGCTTTGGAATTATCCTGGAGGAGATTGTCCTGAGGGCAGGCCCGTTCCATCACTACACATCCACCATGTGTAACAAAGGTTTCATAATACACTTCACAATACTTATTCTTTTTAATTTGTAACTAAAATCATAAATTATGATATTCCGATTATAGGTTGTTCACACTTTTGCCACTGAGCAAAAATTAAGAGAGTTTGTTTGGGAGGTGTTAATGCATCTGCCGTATAATACTTTAGATTTCCACCTGTTTCGGTCTCTTCAGAATTCTTTAGGCAGTGTCAGGTTAACATCGCGAAGGTTGCCAAAACCACTTGTAGCGGTTTTTTGAACAGAAGCCCCAAAATTTCTATAGCAATGGTATTATGTCCCTATCTACAACATGGCAAAAAGATATCGAACGAAATTAATTTACATTTAACTAAAGTATGGAGGTTAAAGTAAATAAATTTTATTAAAAATGTTTTAAATTTATCTATTTATCATAAACTTTCCCCAACTTAATATTAGAAAAAATGTTTAAAATAAAATATTGTTTTTTGAAATTATTAATAAGAACATGAAAATGAAGCTCGAAGTATAAAAAAATGAGCAGTGGTGTTAAACACGGATGAACCTAGCTGACGAACCGGCCACACACTAGAAGTGTCCTCCCGAGGCCACAAAAACACGGTCGAATAGATCTATTGGGTAGATTTTGAGACAGATACTGAAACAAAGTGACGCGATTTCGTTCACATCTATATTAGTCCACGCGACTTCACTGAACTTTAGTATTTGCTTTTGTGTGTTTGGATTGCTGTGAAAAACATGCCATAGTTTGGTTGCAACACAAAATATTTTTTTGATTTCTTATATTAATTCTTGCAATGCATGTGTTGCGATATAAATAAATGCTTTATAGTCATAGCGGCAGAAGTAAGCCGTTTCTGTTTTAATCTCAGAAAAATGGAAAACAAAAACCTCCTTCCGAGAATATGTTGACATTACTTATTAAGCATGCTTGGTCGCACCTGAGGGAAAATTTCAGGAGCCTATCCGTTCCTTTGTATTATTCAGATATCGTTTTGCGAGTATGTGCTCGTGAATCGCCGCCGTTCCGTCCGGCCGTGTGCGTGAGTGAAGTGGGTGCGGCCGGTGGTGGGGGGAACGCGGCTGCTGAGCTGCTGGAACTGGCCGCCCGGTGCTGGGCCGAGGCACCAGACGATCGACCCACCTTCGACGCCATCAATGTTAATTATATAAAGTAAGTATAGTAATTCCCAACGAATAAAAGATCCTGAGATCTTAATTTCAAAACTAGGTTTAGATCTCGCTTTGTATGTCATGCAGTGGTTTCCATGAAGGTATGTTCCTCCAAACAAATGTTCCTCCTATTACAATCTAATTATTTGAATATGTCGCAGCTACAATGAAAATGCTGTGCTTAACATAGAGCTTAATGATTTTCACTTTTTATTTCGTTACTAAAAAAACCGTGAGTGTTTTTCGCTTAATTAAGAAAGAAATGGAATGATAAATAAAATCGTTATTTAAGTATATCTCATTATTATATTTTTAAAGTTTTTAAAATTTAAATAAATATTTTCTTTTTCATTTAAATTTTACAAACATTTTCAAATATATGACATAAAAACATATATGACAATATAAATTACATCTAAATTTTCTGGGTTAAAGTTGAGATGTAATTTATATTGTCATATACGTGTTTATGTTTTATGACTCTAATCTGTTTTGTGTGGCTAATAAATAAATAAATATGGTGAATCCGCGAACATGCTCTCAGTGCTCTCAGAAATAGTGAACGCTACATCCGTAGTAACGGTGTAGAGCTGAACTTGACAAATTCCAAAAGAAGCAGACAGGCTACCGTTGCATGCGCGCAGATTCAACAGTTCCAAACAGTTTAAATTCCATGCAAACATGGCCATTAATAATTGTGTAAAGATCTGGATTTCCTTTAGCACAAAGTAAATTGCGCTCCGCCGCAACCCGGTTGATGGATATAGTACATTATTCTAAACTGTTACATTAACATCATCGAAGGGGCTACTGTGATAACCTGATGGATGATCTGTTGCGGCGTATGGAGCAATATGCCAACAACCTGGAGACTTTAGTGGAAGAAAAGACGGAACAACTTTCTTTGGAAAAAAGGCGGTCTGAGGAGTTACTTTATCAAGTTTTACCAAGGTAAGCAATACAACGTAGTAATATCGTAAAATCTAGTATTTTTATTTAAACAATCAATTTTAAATTAACATTAATTTGAAACAAGTACTTAGCGAAGCCAGGATATAGTTTGAGTTTATAATATAAAGAGCTGCTTAAATATAATTATATTTATTTTACGCTACCAAAGTGTTATATATATTTTTTTTCTAAATTTGGTAGAGAAAATTTTATGAAAGATCACTTTTTAACCCCCCACGCAAAAAGAGGGGTGTTATAAGTTTGACGTATTCGTATGTGCGTCTGTCTGTGGCATCATAGGTCCCGAACGCATGGCAAGCGATTTCAATTTAGTCTTTTTCTTTTAATTAAAGATGACTTACTTGCGAGTGTCCTTAGACATGTTTGATGAAAATCGGTTGAGCCGTTTAAAAGTTGTAGAGGCTGAAAGTGGGGAAGAATAACCGAATATCTGCAAATAAACTAGAAGGGGTTATCAAATGAAAGCGCACTGAAAGAGAATATTGATGACTTAAGCGAGAGTGTTCTTAGCTTTGGTTGATGAGAAAATTATTATATTAAAGAATTAAAGACTAATATAAACTTTAAGTAACAATTATTAGTTATAGAAACAAAAACTATGTAATTAATAAGTTATAATAGCTTGACTTTAAATGGAATCTTACCTTTAATATACATTTGAAAAATTTTGACAGGAATCTACATTATAATAAGTATGTACCTTTAAAAAGTATAAAATAAACAATACGTCACCATTTTTTTTTTTGAATTATTAATACATATTTAGGTACTTTAAGATTGAGTTTCTTTATTTTTTTTTACATTTTATTTAAGGGAACTTAGGTCTTTGTTTCGGGGTTTTTTAATTTTTGATTCATATGTAACTGTCTTGAGATAGCCTCTGGAATTGTAAGAGAATTTATATCATAGTTCAGATAAGGTTTTATCCTCAGGTAGAGAAAACTAATTAACTAATTAATGTGATTAAGCAAATGAGGGTAGGTACATACTCAAGTAATTAGTATATCTCAAGGAATCGAATTTCGTCGTGGTCAGTTGCTTTGACAATTTTCTTTGAATATAGTGAATCGTCATGCCTCATCGTTAGCCCATCAAAAAGAATTTAAGGTCATAATAAAGACAGTGGGGGTCAAGTGCGGATTTGTGCAAATGGTAACTTAATGGTTTTATTACTACCGAAGGGGGAAGAGTCGGAGATTTATTTTTCTCTCACAAATAAAAAGACTTATTTTTGGGGAAGCAAGAAACGTATATGTGATATGAATAATGGCTTAAATAGTGAAATACATATCAGTAGGTATATTAAGACACAAAGCAAAGTTTGGCTATTGGTAGAATTAAAGTTTATATAGAGAAGAATTGGAAAATGCAAATAATTTTTTCCTAATAATGCTAACTTTAAACACACATTACATAAAAATAACAATTACACACTACCACGAAACATTGCACAGAGTATTTTGCGCTTGACACATTGGTCCAATATTAATTTTATTTAGTCTAATTTGGATAAATGGGTGACCACTAGCATTAATAAATGAAAATGAAAATAAAACACAGAAAACAATAGAAATATAAAAAAAAATACAATACAATGCCTTTGTAATTGTTGCTATCCAATTAATTTTGAAAGCCTTATAGAAATTGCTTTAACCTATTTCGAGTGAGCGATTGAAAATGAAGCGGATAATTGCTTGCCTTAATTGAAGTATAACACTGTTCTTTATTTATATAATTATTAGGGCGTGGGTGTCGTGAACCAGACTAAAAACCGGTCACTAATGGAAAATATTGTTGGTATTTGTTTATTATGCAATCTAAGTGTAGTAATTTTCGAGTAGCTGTTTTGAAGCGACTTAACTCGCGAGAATTATAGCGTATGTCACCCGCGTATGACGTGGCTTCATGTAGGCGAAGGCGTTTTAATGGATGATTTTTGCAGAATAACTATATATAATAATTATATAAATATTACAGGGGGTTTCTTTTGTTTCTCTAGCTATTTTAGTAATTCTTTATGGGCAAATGGAAAGGCTAGCGAATGCTTATTACTGTTACCAATTAATAATGAACACTTTCAATATGGAAATATTCTAATGTAAGTGTTTAAAGTTATAAAATGATAATTAATAAATCCTAATAAGGGAATAAATAACGAATTTTTGGACCACGAATATCAAGCTTCACATGTATATGCAACAAAGGTACCCATAGTTATTTATAAAAAATGTCATAAAAGTTATTGTTAATGAGCTGACCCTAGACGACGTTGAATGAGGCGTGAGCAACATCACCCTTGTTCCCAGAATATCAATCGTTTAAGTGAATTATTTATTACATCCCTTCAGCATTCCTCAGCTATTAGTAAAATATTATCAATCAACAAAAATACAGAAAGAATTTTGAACTATTGTTAGACTTAAAGCCATTCTCCGAAACGGCGATCCTGACTTTCACACGTCCTGGTCTGGTCAAGAATTCAATATTTACTTAATAAACATGTTTTATTTTTACGTTCACAGCTACCTATAATGTTAATTGTTTTTTTAATATATATATAACAATTTTATATAAAATATATATATTTTTTTTTAATACCTGCCAATGTTTGTTATGAATTGACGTTTTAATAAAATGTTCAATTGATTGAATCGAATTGAAATATTGACATTTTAAATCAACTTACTATAATAAATCACCCCAAAGTAAAAGTCATCGCCTGGTTAATAAGATTAATAAGACACGCACACACATTCACCATCGAAACACATTCTATTACACGTGTCACCTCTGGCCCATCGGAACACATCCGATTTCAATTTTAATAAAAACAAATATCCTGTATCTGTTATAAAAATATTATAGAAAGTTCCAGGTCTATATCGTAAAATTATGAACGAGTAAAGAGGTGTTTTTATGATTTTTTTTTTTTATATCAACGACTCTGTAGTTTATTTGTTTCTGTCGATTAATGTTCTGTTTTTTTCTGCCATAACGTAGCATTGCGGGGAGTTAGGGCGACTGTGTTTCTGAATTATGATAATATAAGGAATGCGTAAAATCATACGTGATACATAATTCAATAATACGTCTTATTGAACTGTGTTACATTAACGAATTACGAGTATGTTACTGACTGTAGTTATAAAAAGCAAAATTATTAGACATCAGTACTGTAGTGCCAGATTTCTAAGAGGAATCCAAATGATAGTATGGGTAGTATGGGTATCTATCTATATCTTCACGCTACATCCCTTGCGGGGTAGGCAGAGAGGACCGAACGCCAAAATGTGCACTCCGTCACATCTGACATCTTTCATTATGCCTCTACTGCAGCTTTCTCAGGGTATGGACTCTAAGTGTTCATACTATGACTCGCCGATTTTGTATCTTCGATGATAAACAATTTTAATAAAAACGAATATCCTGTATCTGTAGAACGTAAGTTCCAGGTCTATTATGATTATTATTTTATGATTTTTTTATATCAACGACTCTGTAGTTTATTTGCGATTTTAAAAATTCTTTCATCTACGGGAACCTCATATGATGGTGATATATGTAGGTATAAATGAAAGCAGCTAGTATATAGTAAAATGAATATTTAACTCCGTTAGACCAGTAGCGCAGCAGCTTATGGCCGGTGAAATGGTACAGCCGGAGAGCTTCGAGTGCGTCACGGTATACTTCAGCGACATCGTCGGCTTTACCGAGCTCTGCGCCGCCTCCACTCCTATACAGGTCGTGGATCTCCTCAACGACCTGTACAGTACTTTTGACAGGATCATTGGTTTCTACGACGTTTACAAGGTTAGTTTATGTTTGACAAAAATCCAGCTCTCTTACAAGAAACTTCATCTATAATAACACTGTCGTATACAACCTGTTTTTGATGACGCGGTCCACAAGCAAAGATTATTTAGGCCTCAATAAAAGAAACGAAATTAAAGGATAACTTAGTAAGTAGATAGGCTCTTTAGGTATTCAAGTTTAGCTATAAAAAATTTAACCGTGATTTTGTATATTTTTGGTACTCAGAATACTTTATGAAAACTATTAAGATATACATATTTAAATTTAATAGCTAGGCAGTTGATAAACGACTTCAAGAGGGCGAATCTATTTGTCTCAGGTTAAGTATAGCTGATCTAGGTTCAAATCTACCTTCATATCTAGATTATGTAGAAAACACGAATAATAAAAAGATTTTTTTACTTCGATAAATAGGTATGTATGTTAATTGTCTAGTTTGTGTGTCTATGGAAATGTTTTTAATGTTTTCTGTACTGTCTCATATTATTTTTTTAACATTCATTTTTTAAATAATTTTTATTTGTAAATAATAAACTGAACAACCGAATAAATAATTTCGATTCAAAAGTACTTTTAAGAAGTCTATTTGAATAAAGATTATTTTGGACTTTGATAAAAAGTACTTCACCAATGGAAATATACAACGTGTCCCAAAATTCAACGATAAGCGGGTGCCAAGAGGTACCCTTGCTCATGTGTACTTATGGAAAAATAAGAAAAAAATCTTATCTTTTTTATTATAAAATTAAATTCGAAATTCTTCGAAAATTTACACCTTTTATGATATTTTCAACTACCACGACCACAACTTCTCAATTATGTTCAATCTTTTTTGGTATCGGATACCTAATTAGCACTACTATTCGCTACAACTCTTTCGAAAATTTTCGAATTTTATTTTATAATAAAAAAGATTAATAAGATATATTTTTTTCTTATTTTTCCATAAGTTCACGTGAGCAGGTCTACCTCTTGGCGCCCGCTTATCGTTGAATTTTGGGACACGTTGTATATTATCACTCACAATGATGTCATTGTTCCAAAGTTCCCAAAATATAGCACTGCAGAATGTTGCTTTAAACCTTATTATTGAGAGAACAGATTTATCCATTAATATATTTTATTAAATAGTCATTATACAACCCATTTTGGAAACACAAAGAGTATCAATTAACATATATAACCTTTTTATACTTCAAAAGCTATTCAAAAACGTTACTAAATGGAAATCTACCTAAAATACAATTTCACAGTGGTAATCTCAATTTTGTACCCATATCCATTAATAATCAAATATAAATTAACTTAGGTACCTCATTAACATGATTTATTACTCACTTCTAAAACTATTCATGCAGGCTCTCAGCACTGAATTTCATTATTATTGGATCTTCTATGTCTGTAGGTATAATTTAACTTTAACCATAATGGAAGTTTCTAGTTGACGATTTACTTAAAGTTTCATTAGAGAGCAACCTTAATAAGAAATGAAAGATATTTTTTTAAACATAATATATTTTCACGTAAATTAACCTTTTTATTTTTCGTTGTAAGTCAAGGAACTGGGAAGACGAATGGTAGTTATAAAAGTAGGATGATTTATATTTACCATCCGAGTTTTCATTTTACGAGCGATTTCACGAGAACAATGCAAGACTTGACAAGTCTCCCACGGCGTGCGGCTTCGATTCCGTCGGCTTTTTTGTTTGTATTTAGTCTAAAGGGTTTTTTTATACAGTCAATCAGCATTACATTATATTTTAGCTATATCGTGAATTTGTAGTTACAAAAATAACAAGAAAGCTGACAATAGAAAGTAAATCAATAAATTATATATACATATTTACTTATATACAAGTAAAGTTTGCATTTGATAATAGGTAATAGAGCAATATACAGATAAAAAATAAGAAAATCCAATTTAAGATTTTGATTATATTGCATTACAAATATACATTAAATACCTACTAATAGTAGATTTGAAAGGAAATTAAGTGTATTTATTTTCTCATTTCAACTTTAGAGCATTATATATAAATAAAATGTAAATTAACGAAAGAAAATTTTGATAATAGAAAAACCGTAAAAAACATTTCTGTCGTAATTTAAAAAGTTAGATTACATTTGTTAAAAGGAAATTTGATTAGAACTTTAGAATTTGCTATTTTTTAAATAAAAAAAAATTTAATACCTGAAATTTAAAAAAAGCTATATGTAACTGCCGCTTAGCTTTACAGTTCTCACCGCTATGCATCAACCAACGATTAGTGATTAACCACTACCAATATTATTAGAAAATAGTATGAGTTAGATGAGAAAAATTGTTATACCACTTCCTTTTACTTCTCCTATATGAAAAACGAGGATGATTCTCCTAAAGTTTTATAATTTTTTAGGTGGAGACTATAGGGGACGCGTACATGGTAGTATCTGGTTTACCGGAGCGTAACGGAGATTTGCATGCGCGTGAAATCTGCCTTATGGCTCTAGCAGTTGTGGAGGCTGTACGGGGATTCGTTGTACGTCACCGGCCTACACATCGACTTGAGGTATATTTTTCTATGTAATTTAAATATTAATATCCTCATTGCTGGAGCACAGATCTTCCCTATTACTAAATATAGCCCAAAGCTACACAGCCCTTTTAATCCACAGCTACACAGGGTAATAGAGAATCACGACCGGTCAAGCGGGGGCACTGGCCCCGGGCGCCAGTGTTAGGGGTGTCAAAATCATCATCATAGACATAGTCTACGACGGGACGAAAATCGTACATTGCAAAAATGTATATATACACATTTATATAAAAAAAGTTCTATTACTTTTCTAAAACCCTTAAATTATAATCATATTGAAAACCGACTGCAATAAATTAAATAGACTAAAACTCTCTAATTTACACTGATTTTACTACTCAAACCTATAATTAATCCAAACATACACACACAAACACAAACATAAGTATGCTAGAGTAATTATGTGTCATACTGTGTATATACACACTGACATGCGCACACACTCATTTGCATGCTCTAATTTTATTTTATTATTGTTTTTTTTTCACAAAGCCAGTGTACTATGTAATAAGTGAAAAATGAAAACAATTGTACTCGTAATAAACGAAATATTAAATGTACCATGGAAGAGCGGACTATTTCTGGTACAGATTGCGGATTGCGAAAGGTCGTGGGTTTATTCCCATCTCAGGGTGCCAGGGACCAAGTGGATTTTTTAAGCATTTTGTATTAAGAATAATTTTCAGTATGGCATTGTGAATGCTAAATTAAACAAAATATATTAATCAGATATTTATAATATCTAAAAGAAATAGCCCATTACAAATGTTAACTTTTTTATATTCCTCGGAATGTTGCCTCGGAATATGATCCTATAATAGTGTGAGTATAATTTTTTTGGAGAAAGATGCTAATTTCGCAGCTTTGATTACATCAGCGTTGAAGTGTTATAAGTTGTAAGATAGTCAAGTTAAGACTTAACTTGACTATAATAATATTCAGATACTTTTTTTAAAGAAAAATGATCGTCTGCGCTTTATTTTTCATATGATTTTTCATCTTTGAAAAATACTGAAAAAACCTCTACCCATTCATAATACGTAACAAGGTTATATATTTTCAAATGTATGTTAATAATTTAGGACAAACACCATAAAGGTCATCAAAATGTTTTGTGAACAATCTTTGTGTAAAATTGTTTAGCTTGACGGTTTGTGTAACGGGCGACGTCTTTTGTTACACTTATTTCCTCGTAAATCTTAATTATTGTGCCATCATAAATGAAATTCAACTACAGATTTTGCGGACTGAATAGATAGTATTTCATTTGGAACAAAGACGAAGTTGTTGATATTAAAATTGGGTAAAAAAAATTGTTTAAATATTAAAACTGAACTTAGAAATGTTTCTGATGAAATCCAATCAAATTACTATTTAAGATTCGTTTTGGCTGTAAAGATGTAGCGCGAAATATCTAATTCTCTGTTTTTTTTTTCTATTGTACAGTGTCCTCGATATTCCATAAAAAGGAACGATGATTAGTAAAATGAAATTTTGACATTTAATACAATTAATTATAATAATGACAGGTACGTGTGGGCGTACACTCGGGGCCGGTGTGTGCGGGTGTGGTGGGCGTTAAAATGCCACATTACTGCCTCTTTGGAGACACCGTGAACACAGCCAGTCGCATGGAATCCACTGGACAACGTAAGTGTCATCATCGTGTCATCTGGAAGACGTCCACCGATCGATAAAGGCCGTTAAAGTCCCACGACGATCACTTCACCAACGCTTATCATTATCATAGTTTCCAACCCTTTGTTTCCCGGTGGGGACGTGGTTATTGCGTCAAAGGACGTTGTTTTAAGGACCGCAATGCATGGAATTAATAGCCTTCGCTTTGTTCTATAACGACTAATTATATGTACCAATCTATGTCCTACAGACTTTGAAAATTGTATTTGTTAATGTTATTTAAATACAATTTTCAAACTTATGTTAAACTGCTTTACTTGCGGAAAATGGCGATAATGTGCTTTCAGATTAAGTTCAACTCTAGAGTGTAACTTTAATCTCGCAACCGATAACTGTGGATGATCTGCGAAGTGGCGACACACGTGTAGAACGATAGTTGCTAATTATTTTCTATTCAAAATGTTTCGTTTCTTATTTGTAGCACTCAGGATACATTTAAGCGAGAACACTCGTGCATTGCTGAATCAGTGGGGCACATTTGTTGTGGAAAGGAGGGGTGAAGTGGAGCTGAAAGGTAGGGGTCGGATGCTGACACACTGGCTGCTCCAATGCTCCGAACCTGAAGCGAGATTGCTGGCACAAAGTCCCCAACCACCCCCTCAGTACCCTATATTGTTCCCTTCTTTACCCCAACCTCCAATTGCCTTACAAGTACCGTACTTAGTTGTAGAACCACCTACATTAGCGGCCTGAAGTCAATTCTTTTACTATAGACTAGTAATTATGATTGTAAATAATGGTAAACTTTACATCAAAGAGTAGATATTAGTCTTTACATTGAATTTTATTTTTCTTCAAAATTATTGTATTTCGAATTAGCATGATACCTGAGAGCCTATTCTACTTGTTCTTATAATTTTGTTAGAATCATATCCGTGAAAATTAAACTCTGTGCACCAGAGGCAGTGTCATGTGTTAGGTCCTACCTCCGTTGCATCATAAATTATCGATTAATGCGTTTCTTTGAAGTTGTATTATTATTTCGATAATAGACGAAATGTCGTTTTTGGACAAACAGAATAGGCCTTAGTACCACTATACTAGGGATGGCGCATGGGTAAAAAAAAAGAAATTATGCCTGGGTAACATTTTTATAGGCACTAAAGAAGAAATACATAGTGCTCATGCGATATTTCAATTATTTCAACTTTATGTATCGCCTTATTTTTTTGAGTACGCAATAAATAAAAAAATATGTTTGGTTAATATTCTTCAATATTATTTATATGATACAACAAAATGTCTTCACTGATACAAGTGATATTTTATATTTTCAAGTTTATGTTTTATGATTTTTAATGTTGTGGACTTTATTTCACCTATCCATCTACGCTCAAATAATGTACCCAATACTGTGCTATTCTGTAAAAATAACCTCAACCTCAACTTCAAGTGCAGTACTGTCACAGCCTGGAATGTCAATGAAATAAAAACTTTATTATCTATTGAAGTAGATGTTATTTGACTGAACCTCTATCCTGTGACAGCGATGTGCTTGACGTTCAGTTAAACGCCTATTTTATTACATAATAGGACTGCTGAATGGGTGGCAGAAAAAAAACTACTCTGATAAGTTACATTTTTTTTTCATCTTTCAGAGAATTTTTAAATTACGTGTAATGTTGTACTCGTAATAGTTAATTAAGATATTAATTTATGTAGTGCTTTGTAATTGTCTTTGACATATTTGTGTTACGATATGGGTGTTATAAAATCAAAATATACTTTAATTAGGTTATAAAATTGATAAAAGATAGTGAGTAGGTACTTAAAAATAACGAAAAACTTAGTAAAATTTGGGATCAAAATACATAAGTTTTCATTTAAAATCATAGATAAAACATTTTTTCTGTTACTGAAAATTAACTAGGAACACAAAATAGGAAGCGTATTTAAAGGTTTAGCAACTTTTTTTGAAGTTCATATAAGATAACTAAATACACATATAAACAAAAGAATATGGCAGAGTCTCCACAGACATTTAACAAGAATAAAATTTATTTTTATGTACCCAAATGTTTTTGAAATTCCAGACCTGTAATATTTTCAATAGGTAATACTATTTTTGACTGATTGCCTCAGATAACTATGATTGGATTTTTTTACTAAAGTTGCAAGTTCCGTAGTTAATAAGTTTAATAAAAGATATATTATAAAATAACTAATATTATAGATTAGAAAGTGTATTTTTTTCTAGTCTTTTCACGTTGGAATGGAACGGAACTTCGTTCTGCTATGATTTTTTTGTTTAAAGTTAGTTTGGAAGCTGAAGAATGATATAGTTTTTTTACAGTGAAAAGTTTTTATTAAATCGACGAAGCTAGTAAATAATAATTTTGAAATTGTCTTCAAGTCTATTTTAAACTTTACGGTTCTCGGGATAAGTGTTAGAATTGAACAATGTCGAACGATTTATGGAGATACTTGAACCGGGTGTTAAATGTTCCGTTGTTAATTTAACATGGAGCGTCGCATAACGACCTTATAACATTTACATTTTACAAGCTGAACGATAGACGTGATGCTCTGATGAATCAACAAGATAAGGCTGCTGTTACACTGATGGATATTTTGTTATTCAATATTTTAATTTTATTGCGATATACAGTAGAATCCGTTTCTTATAACTTCGTTTATATTGACCAATCCCTCAATATTTAGAATCCTTTGGAGGAGTGTGTTATAACTATTCGCTTTTTTGCTTATTATGACATATTTTGTTATTGTAGAATTCTTAGAAACATAGTTCAGTTATAGTGATGTGTCTATTTATTGGGACTGTCCGGGCCTCTTTCTGACAGCGAAAATATGTTTTTTTTAAGAATATGATGATTCTTACGCTTTGTTTGATGTAGTCATCATTTTCTTTCAATGTCTTTACATAAACGGATTCGGAAAAAGAATGGTAATATTTCCTCCTTGTTGGCACTCTTACATTTTAATTGCGAGATGCGCCGAATATTCATTTGGTATTCAGCGTATTCGGCATCTTTTTACCTATTTGAATTCGGCTGAATTTCGGTTTTGGTGCCGTATATTTAGTTCGAGTATTCTTATTTTCTTGGCTACAAGACACGGTTAAGTACTAAAAACAATAATTACTACATAAGATTTATGTTATATTATAAGTCACATCAATCCTTTGAATAATGTGTTCAATAAAGCTAATTAAAGTAAAGAAATTAATTTTCAAATGAACATTTTTTTTTAAACTGTTTTATGTGGCAAACCAGTGAAATGGTAAACCGATTAATTCGGCTGGATATCCGGTTTGGTAAAAGTTAAACCGAATAATTTTCGGTATTCGGTAAAACCACTATTCGTCATATCTCTAATATTAATAAAGTCTTCTTAAAATTTAAAAAAGTGCTATAATCTAAAAAGATTTACATAATTTTCACATGTGTAACAAAACACTGTGTGTGTGCTGCTTGTTTAATAGTAGTAGGATTATGTGGAACACGAGATAGTATAAAGATACGACATAGGATAAAGATCTTCACATAGTGCTGACCTCGACAGTTGGAGAAGTTCAGAAGGGCAGGTTAGTAGACTAATTTGCATATTTAATCTTATCGGGCAAAGCTATAAAGTTTGGCATGATCGACGAAGAAGTTCACTGATAAATATCACCTCTAGTGATATATCTGATTGATTGGGAGATCGGTGAATCGCATTTTTCTTGCTCTATCTTCTTTTATCGTTCGGGATTTTCATTTTCTAGAACGATAAAAGTTAACTTCCGCACAAGATAACATTTACGTTATCTTTTCAACTTGATAATCTCAAACGATAGAAAATAACCTGCTGAAGAGCTAGCCGGAATATTGGATTTTGAATTTTAGGAAACTATACACTTTACAGGTTTTCCTGTAGGTAATCTCTATATATTATTGACTTACACTGTTCCGGTGGTATATTAAACTGTGTCTGTAGTAAATAAAACATTTGTAGGCTTATTGTGACCATTTCAAATAAGTAACTACATCTATACTAATATTCTAAACAGGAAAGATTTTATAAAGTATTTGTTTGCTTGCATCTAACAGGTTCCGAAACTACTAGAACAATTTTAAACATTTTAGAGAAGCTACATCACATGCGGGTGACATAGGCTTTACTATAATATATGCGGACGAATATGTTTTTATTAGGAGGTTATTAAAAAAGTTTATTTTAACAGTTGTAAATATTCGTTACATTTTGTCGTTAAAATTAAAGTATAATTCGATGCTATTTATTATTTAGCTGTAACGTTAACTTTATATACTCATGATATAGTTCATAATTTGCCCTCGAGTTATATTACCATGATCGTGAAGTTATCTAACCAATGTAGTATTGTACTATATGATAGTACTTTGTTTGCTTATATGCTCAAGGTTTGTTTATCGTAAACGGCTTGTTTATGATAATGAAACATTTATTCGGTTCAATTATCAGAGCACATTCAAAGTTATTAGTAAGTTAGCTATGAAAAGTTATATATACTTCCTTATTTGTTATTCTACACGTTTTATAATTAACTAAAATATATTTTAAATATTTGTGACTATAACGACTGAGGATTGATATATCATCATATGCAAAGAATAATATAACATCTGTGTAATCTCTATTTTTCAAAGGAGCGGTTTCACTATTCAATGGCGAAGTGCCGATACTTCCCAGCTGACATTAGATAAGTTATATTTTTAACGTTTAAATTAAATTACGTCATTTTTGAACAAAGCAAATTGTATTCAATAGTTTTCATTCACTAATTAAAGTACCATATAAATAAAAAGAAATTTAGTCTTTAGCTCCAGTATATATATATTTGCATGAGTATATACTTTCATAGTAGTTTGGGATCAGTTTTCTTTGAAATTAGTTGTAATTATTTATTTTAAAATGTATTCTCTAAATAAATCCGACGCCAAAAAAAACAACAATGTAAAACAATACTGACTTGGAGAATCCGTTGATTAATTTAAGAAATTTCGTTTGAATTTGGGCTGAAAAGAGAATTGTTACGACCTCTATCATCTATCTCATTAGTCGACAAAAATAAAACAATAAATTAATATCACAATATAAATCACAGAACATGATAATAAAAAGTTAAGAATTTTCCGCCTTTTAAAATTGTTTCTTCTAAATTTGTTAAATGTCTTTCGAGTAAAGTGTTTATGTGTTACGAGTACTAAAGTAACTGACTAATATTTTATATGTGAATATTTATGATTCTAAAAAATCAGAAATATACTTTTAAATCTCAGAAATATACATTAAAATATATATAAAACTATGACTATATCGGTCTAGCTTAGAGTTGGCAGCCATTTTCAAAACTAGGTTTTAAAATCTGCTAACTGTCCTGGTAAAAAAGGACGATAAACAAATCTAGCATAGCATGAGAGCTTTATAGTAATACTTATAGTATTTTATAATTTCTCAAATTTTTTATACTTTCGTATTTGTAATATTAGTACGGATTATATGCTACAAATATATACTACACATATATATTGTTATATACTATTACTATACATATAAGAATGAAAAAATAAGTACAAAGGAACTTTGATGAACTATTTGAAAGAAACAATATATTGTAATCACACATTTTATGGAGAACATTAGTTTGTGCCAATTAAGATAAGTCTATTTAACTTATTTTGGTATAAAAAAATTCGCTCTATTATTTTAAT